TTAGAAGGGCAAAGTTCTGCATCCTTATTAAAGGTCGAATTGTGAATGCCACTTGAGTCCATCCAGTCCGATGCATGTTGTTCCGTAAGCAGGGCCCCTTGCACAGAGCCCGATTGTTGCTCCGCTGCACAAACAGGCACTCCACAGTTTCCATGACCTCTGAACTGTGTTGGCGCGTCCAGAGCACACTTCCTCAAGAAAGGGTGTGGCTCAGTCTGGTGCCGGTGGACCACAAAGCTGCATTCTCTCAAGCTGTAGTTCACAGAGACGCTGTTATGTTGCAGCCCCTTCCCTGGAGGCCGGTTCCACCGCACGCTGGTCTGACAAATCTGACCAGTCACGTCTAGCTGTGCATGACCCCCCTGAACATCTAAATGTTTCTTGGCAGTGTATCCAGTGAGGGGGGAATTCTGCTGCTTTGGTCCACAGGTGTTCGTTCCGTGTTCCCCAGTCCCAAAATAGGCAAGGATGTCCGCTTGAGGTCTTTGTATCCCATTTTGTAGTTGGCTTGAAGTGGTGGGTTGAATGCGTGGCTCTCTGACCCCTTTTGTCTCGGAGAACATTCTGCGGCCCAAGAAGGGGACTCTCGAGAGGACGTGTCCCTTCTTTAAGTGTCCCGGCCTTGTCATTACCAGGAGATGTTTTTCTCATCTGTCCTGTCTTTAAACTTTCTCTTGCATGTTTCTTCACTCTGACCCCCACCTTCTAGTGTGTTGTTTCCTCCCGCAGATTAATCCCGGTGTGTTTTCTTCCTCTGGACCCTTGCCCTTCTTTCTCTCTTACCTCACTTTGCTCCCGTCGTCCTCTCGTTGGTGGCGGGCCTCCGTTTTCCACCCTCTCTCTCAAACTCCCTGCATTTCTGTTCCACTGGCTGTTGCTTGCTTCCTGCCTTTGACTACCTCCCCATCCCCTCTCTCTCGCTCGCTCACACTGCGCTGCCTCCCTTTCTGGTTCATTCTTCCTCCCACTCCCTCTCATGGCTTTTCCTCTCTCCCTCGCTCTCGTTTACCTACTTGCAGTAACTCGTCGTACCTCAATCAGTGAGGGGGGTCGTGGAGGGGGGATTTAATCCAGTGCTGATGCTGTGTGTCCATGTATGTTCCCAGCCTCGGGACTGATCTGATTACTCCTGTTCTGCCTCAGTACGCTACAATTACACCCAGGATTTTATAGCAGGATGCCAGGGGAGGCACACTCCCCCTCTAGTGCTTTATGGGGCAGCACAGGCAGGGCTAGTCCCTAAAAAAACGCATGAGGATGTGACTTTTAAAATTAATAACCTGGCATGCTGCAGCATGAAAATACTTCTTCATGTCTTTGGTTTATTTCTGGTTTATCTGGTATGGAGGGGTTCTCAGAAACTGCATATACTGAAGTTTCAATTCTACATTAGTTGCATGTTTTCATTTCAATTGCATGTTTTAAACGTTTTAGTAACCACAACAGTTTAGCTATATAATGACCTATAGAAAAATTGCAATTAAATTAAAGTGCAATTAATTGGAAAGTCAATCTATATATTTAACACATTTTTAAGATTGAAGTCCTGTGGTAACATTTGTATTCTCCATACCCAAGATTGAAAGGTCACAAATGCGAATGTTTACCATTGTTATTCCCAGCTGCTTTAGGTTTCAGTTCTTTTCTCATTTCCACATAAACTGAACGATCACTCTGAGAAAGGTCAGGAATTTTACCCCTGACACAGTCTCTGATTCATATCAACCCAAACTAAAGTACAATTAGCAAAAAAAGATCTTACATTCGGTCTGGATTTACTTACTCATTTCTCCCAACTATATTTTACTATAAAGTACTACTCATGATTTTGATGTTGCTAGATACCAGTTATACTGTATATAACATACAATAAAGAACTGCAACAATTGTATGTTTTATTTTTGTCTCATGACCTCATTAGATCTTATATAATGTGTCCAATTATCATCTTGGAATAAAATATGGTTATTTTGTACTTTTAAGTACACTTTTTGTTTTTTGGCAGTCTGATCAAATAATAATGTTAGAGAATATGGATCTAATCGTTTGCAGTCCATTCATCACATTGAAAAAGGTAAGGTCAATTTGAGGACATTGCATTGTGGGATACAGCATTGCACACAGTGCATTTTTTGTATGCTGGATGCCACAGCAAACTTAATATTGCAGACAGAAAATTTTGTATATTGTGTACATACGATATACTCCAAGGATCGTGGTAGTAGCATGTTAGCATGCTATTCTGAACAGTAAGCTGATTTGAAAATAGCAGTTAATGGTGCAAAAATTTCACTTTAAGAAAAAATAAATAAAATAAAAGCAATAAAAATCTTGTGTACTGTGTAATCTAGGTCTTGCAGCCAACAGCAATATGACTAAAAAGTCACTGTTCAGCCTTACTGATAAACGACTTGAAAGCAGCCACAAAGATGTTATCGTAGACGTAGCTTCTGTGGGCTAACGCTCCCAAAGCGCTGGTCAGAGGGCCTTCTGTTTGACACCAGACACATCACTGTAGCAGCAAATGCAGTGCTTTGAGACGTCACTCTCACGCTGAGCGTGAGCCATAAATAGCGCAAAACGCTTGAATGCGGCTGTTCATTTCAAATTCAGTTTGGATGCACAAGTGCTGTTACCTGTCAAGACTGACGACACAATATAACACTAATGGCCTGCAGATGCTGTTCAACAGCTGTGGTGTGTTTAAACTCAGACACTTACACTATGAAGCACCAACGCTATGCTCGTTTTCTATTTTCTGTGCTGAATTTTGCACCAGATTTTACAAGCCTCTGCTAGCTGATTGTAATAAGAGCTATTAATGTGATTCTCGTCTTTGTCTTGGGGTCAGATGGTCATTTCTACACCTCTGGTGGCGGTTACCAAGACAACTGACAGGCAGCCGTGTGTTTTTGCAGGTTAGGTGTGAAGGGACATTGCGGAGATCGGGTCAATGCATGACGTTGTCGCCAGCTATTAATAACTCAAAAATTCCACTTCTAATAAATAAAAATCAGGACAAACAAGGTGATATAACCCACCCGGCGGGGATCCGTAATGTAATGTTGCTGATAGTATAACCTTGAGAGCCGTACAGAATATCAATGAATTCTTTATATAGGCTATGTATTTATTATTATATAAATAATTGCTTTACATTCACGTTTGCTTTTAACTAAAACAAACAGCAGGTTTTAGATCTCCAGAGGACACTCTAGAGGAGAGAAAAGCGAAGAAGGAGGAAAAAAAAACAAAAGAACTTGCCAGGTTTAAGAACTTAAGTCCCTGGTAACTGTCACGTCTCAGGTATCAGCCGGAGGGAGATCGAGCATCAGCATAAAGAACAGAAGCTGTGTCAGAACGACACACTGAAACAGCCGTGAGAAGAATAGCAAATGAATACCAGCGTGTCATTTTCACACATTTTTAACATGTTTATATTGTCTTGCCCTCGTAAGACCCGTGAACATCACTGCGATTGGTTTCAGGCTCGGGACTACCCCAGGGAGAATTAGGATTATATTTTTATACTGATACCACACTGTAAACATTGATGCCATACACACACACGTCTGGTTTGCTATCCTTGTGGGGACTCTCCATAGGCGTAATGGTTTTTCTACTGTACAAAC